ATAAGATACTCATTTAATGTTCCATGTTACACATGAAGAAACTTTTTGATTGGTTATTTGTAAAGACAAATGAACTCTACATTAAAAAGGAAAAACAAACGATGTCATGTTTGCAGTTTTGTATACAATACTCATTTTCTCTGTGTGTGTGTGTGTGTGTGTGTGTGTGCGTGTGTATGGAAATAGTCTCATTTTTGTTGGGTTCAAAATAAAAATAACAAAAATTCCAAAGAAAGAAAATAGCCCCGGAGTGAGACGAGGGAGGCTCCCAGCTTTAAGCTAGCAGGAATCCCGGCTCATCCTGGCCCCTAGTCCAGGTCTCTGACCTCAGCTCTAGCCTCTCAAGGCCCCGGGCACGTCCTCGGTTGGGCCAGCCTCCACACCGAAGGCTCTTCCTGTCTCTCGCAGATCATCATGGACTCCAACATCACAAAGCAAGCACTGAGCGAAATTGAAACGAGGCACAGCGAGATCATTAAACTGGAGAACAGCATCCGGGAGCTTCACGACATGTTCACAGACATGGCCATGCTGGTGGAGAGCCAGGTGAGCTTCCCCCCCCCCGCAGCGAGGGGACGCGGGGCTGAGCCCTCCAGACTCCCAGCCATCCTGCGCCCCATCCCAGGCGCCCCGAGGAGGCTGAGGCTAACGGGAGTGTGTGCCGTGGGAGGTGGGTGGACCTGGAATGCCTCAGCCAGCCCCTGCAGGTGTGAGGGAGGGGGCCTCTAACCTCACCTGCCGCCATTTCTGTCCAACACGCTGCCCCTGGACGGAGCCCTCAGGTAACAAATAAATGACTGCATGAGCCTCCTCCTAGGCCCCACCCCCAGGGCCCGCCCTCTGCATGGCTGGACCTGCCGCGTCCTCTCTGCATGACTTTGCCCCCCCAGGACCCCACCCCCTGCATGGCCTGACCTCCCAAGCTTGGACTCCAGCATGGACAGGCCCAGTAGGGCCTAAGCACCTACATAATTCAATCATGGACATGCCCCTAACACACACACACACACACAGAGTCATCGAGTCATACATAGGATGTCAGAACTGTGACCTTAGTGACTGTGCAGTCCATCCCACCCCCATTTTTACAGAGAGGGCAGCCATGGCAATGCCAGGCCTGGGAGAACAAGCTCATATTTCTGTTGCAGTTTCAAGTTTATAAAACACTCTCACAATAACCCTGGGAAGGAAAGGGTAGTATTTTCTACCCCATTTTACAGATGAGAAAAGGGAGACTCAGAGAGAAAAGTGACTTACTTGTCTCTATTTGGACCTCGGTCTCCTGACGCTCCGTCCTTCTCTTTCCACCATCTTGTATGGAACTAATGAGTTCCGTGTTGTTTCCCCCCTCTAGAACGTAAGCTCTTGGAGGGCAGGACTTTTTTTACTTTCCTTTGTATCCCTAGTGGCTGCCACATAGTAAGCACTTAACTGTTTGTTGACTGACTGACTGACTGAGTACTCCCAATCCTCCCCTTATTCCTCCAGGGAGCCAAGCATGTGGGTGGAAATCAGGGGCTCGCTGCTTTTGGCTCTCCTTCATCTTCCTCTTCCTCTGTACCCTCCCCTCAGGTGGGGGCTTCTTCTGCGTGGATTGTTTCTTGGGCCTGGAATGGGGAGTGTGCCACTTTCCCCAGCATGCTTTAGGGGAGAAGCCAGAACCCCAGTAGCTCATCTCTTGCCAGGATCTAACAGTGTCAGTTTCTGGGGAGCCTTGGCTTCAGGACCATAGGTCCAGAATCACTGCCCTGAAGACACAGCCTCCCCCTTCCCCTGACTTCTCTTCTCTTTTCTGCATCAGGGCGCCCTGTAAAGTCCAGAACCAGCCCCAAACCCACTCTGGCCCCAAAGAGTGGGGCCCGAGAGCCAGGTAAGGAGGGGCTGCCCCTCCAGCTTGGCCCACTTGGCCTCACAGGGTGAGATGATTGACCGCATTGAGTACAACGTGGAACATTCAGTGGACTACGTGGAGCGCGCCGTGTCAGACACCAAGAAGGCTGTCAAATACCAGAGCAAAGCCCGAAGGGTGAGTGGGGCCGGGGCTGGGCTCGCTCCTCCTTTCCGATCCCCGCCCCCCTGCCCTGGCTTCTTCCTGAAGCAGATGCGGGTTCTGAGCCCCAGCTGGGCTCCCCTTCTCGCCATCCCGGCCTCGTGGGCCCCCTCCTCCTCTCCTCCCACTCTTCTACCCATTGTTTTCCTTCCCTTGCAGAAGAAAATCATGATCATCATCTGCTGCGTGATCCTGGGCATCATCATTGCTTCCACGTTTGGGGGTATCTTTGGATAGACTCGCCCTCCCATCTCCACCAACTTTGGACCGTCCACAACGAGGAGGTGCCAACAGCTGCTGCTAACCACTGGGGCCCCTGGGGAAACGTCTCCCCCACACCTCGGGGCCCAGAGCCCCTCCCCCCTTGTGCTCGTGTTCCGCTCCCCTCCCCCCACACCACAAGGGCTGGCCCCCTCCCAGAGCAGCTGAGCCATGTCATGTGCATGATCTCATTGTAACACTGTGTGTGTCCGTGTGGAAGGGGCATTTGGACCTTGGGGGACGAGGAGACAGAAAGTGGGAGCGGGGTGGGACAGGGGATGGAAGACTAGGGTAGAAAGGGCTAGGGCTATAGCGACGTGACTGGAAAACCAGGGAACAGAATCAGGAAAGGGAAGGAGCAAGAGGCCACTGAGAATTCCTCAAATCCCCCCAGTGCAAGGGGCCTGCAGAGAGAGAGAGGCCAGACCAGGCACCTGACATTTCAGGACCCCCCCCCATTTACCCTTAGTGATGCCCATCCTGGGCTGAGTTGCCAGACCCATCTTCCCAGTCCTCGCTGTTTCCCTCCTAGCTCAGGGCCAGTATCACTCTTTCAGCAAGCCCCAGGCCTCTGCCCCTTTCTCTGACCTTTGACCGCCCCATCCTGAATCAAGTCTAGCAATGGCCAAAATAGGGTAGGGGCCACTCGGTGCTGTTGCCCACTTCTCAGGGAGGGTGGAGCCTTGAGGAAGCAGTAGGGTAACACTGCTGATCACTGCCAGGCTGGGTTCAGGGCGCTGCCCAGGATTTGGACCTCCAACCCTTTCCAGCCTTTACTCACAGCCTCTGGCTCATCATTGTGAGAGCCCAGAGAAAAATCAACATGCACGTCGGTCCCTGACTTCCATCCACCCCACAAGCCTGAAGGGCGAAGCTTCCTCCTGCCCTGCTCCCCAGGGGGGCCTTCCTGGAACTCACAGGCTGCCCAGCCTGTTCCCCCTCCCCCTGGAGACCCTGTGATGGGGGAGGGAGCGGCCAGCCAGGCTTCCGCGTAGCTGTCCCGGAGGGAATCGCCTTTGGCACCCGTGTCTAGACCTTTGCCCTTGGGGATGAGGGACCCTGCACCCCGTGTATGTTGCATGTACAGGGCATGCTCCCTGACTCCCATGCTTCACTGTGCCCACCCCGTGCCCCTCCTCCCCCTTCTCCCTCGCTTGAGGTGCCTTGTGCCAGGTTTGACGGGGGTCTTATTGACGCAGTATTCAACAGCCAGCCGGGGGGCCCTCTCTTCCCACTGTCTGGGACTTTGGGGGAAGTTTAAAAACAAAATTTCCACTTCAAGCAGCCCTCGCCCCATTTCTCCCTCCTTTTTGTGGGTGCCCGGGCAGGCACAGGTTCTTCCCAGGTGGGGTGTGTGTGTGCGAGTGTGTGTGTGTGCATGGCGCCCTGGCCAGGGCTGCATCTGTGTTATCTGCGCCCTTGCCTCCCTAAGGCTTTGCTCCAGCCCAGTGACCGTGACCACTGTCCTGTGCTGCCTTTCCAGCCGCTGCCCTGCCCATCTCCCTTCTCACCAAAGCTCTTGGTGCAACCAGCTGCCCATTTTGTGAAATTTTTATGTAGAATAAACATTTGTATCTGTACCAGGCAGAAGGCTCCGGTTACCTTTTTCTGTTAGTGACGGGACAACCTAGATCGGAGGCCACGTGTGGCCTCGAGGCTGCTGGCTCCCCCCCTCCTAATCCACACCTTCAGATAACAGTCACAAAACTGTCCCTGGACCCCCTAAAGTCTGACTCCTGCCCCAGCCTAGGGGGTGGCTGAGGGGAGAGCCAGTCAGTAAATGGGGAGAATTCACCAACAAGGCAGCTAGGTGGAACAGTGGGTAGAGGCTGGGCCTGCACTCAGGAAACCTGGGTTCAGGGCACTGGACCCACCCCTGAACACAGCAGGCAAACAAACTGGGCATCGGTATCCAGCATCTGACCACAGGGAAGGGGCTAAGCCAGAGGGGATGCAACAAGCAGCTCGAGACGGCATGGAAAGAATATAGGCGCTCCTGCTGGGCAAAACTGATCTTGGGGGGAGAGGGTCAGGACCCCCAAGGGATCAAACAGGGCTTTTCCTTTTCCCCATTCCCCATTCCTCGAAGCGATCATTCAGCATTTGTGTAGCAGAGCTAACAAACTAACATCTGGTCCCTAGAGCTCCATCCTCTTCTCATTGATTATGTATGTAAAGATACGGTTTTGCTTTTTAGGATCTTGTGACTGCAAACGATGTCCCTCCTCACCGAGGAATGTAGATGAACCAACACAGAAGTGATTCCAGCTCTCATAAAACACATCCATGCACACACACGTTTATATATAGCCAAGTAAGACCATCACCCCACTGGTAGGATCTCTGTTTTGGAAGTTTATTCTGCCTCCCCTGTAGAACGTGAATTAGAATTTCACATGAAGCCTGCCAAGTGGGGAGAGAGGGAGGGAAAGGGGCAGCGGCCTACAAACACCTCTGTGGTTCCTCACTTTGGAGATGTCCCAAGGCCAATCTCCTGACACTTGCCAGTTAATTGACATTTATCCCACGTTCATTTTCCCTTGATTTTGCTCTCACCCCTAAAATCAGGTGAGAGTCCCATCTGAGACTCGACAGTGACTATAGCCAACGGGACCACAAAACCCCTCTGTATCCCCCTTTCATACTTTCACTCCTATCAATTACTGCACTCAGAGAGACCTAGCATGAAGGTAGCAGATTACAGCCTGCCCACTAACCCCGGAACCCTGGGACCCTTGAAAAGGAGAGCATCGTTAACACCTCAGACACGGGACCACTGCCAAGCAAGAGGAATTAAAACGGGCAAGAGAAACTGGATGGAGCTCCTCCAACTCAGAGCCCTTGTTCCAAAAGCTAAAGGGAGAACCTCTCATTTAACATGTCTTTCCGTTCTTACCCTCCCTTATTAACCCCTGAAAGGCCAGAAAATATCACCCCAGGAAAAACCCTGAACAGCTGAACCAGAAGAAAGATGGGGTGCAGCAGTCCAGTAGGCTGGGTAACTTGAGGGATTAATGGGAAAGGCCCCTCTTGCCCTGAAGGAAGGGGAGCAGTACAGAACCTGAGGCATCCCAGCAAGCTAGCGGAAAGCCCCACCTCAGCATACCAGGAGGAGATCCTGAAGCTGAGGTGGTAAAGCAGGCAAACACCAACAACTGGACCTCCAAGTGCCTCAATTAGGGCGGGGAAACCGGTGGAAATCAGCTTGGAAAACCACCAGGTGCCTGGGCATTCTACAGCAACCGGCTCTCCCAGCGCCTCAGCAAAACTAAGGGAAGCAGCGCTCCAAAGGGCCCCGGGCAGATAAACATCCAGCAACGTCCATCTGAAAGGAGCTGAAGAAAGCAAAAGGAAGGAAAGGCCAGGGTGAGCAGGAAGTCTCCAGGAGCCACACCACCCAATCCTTCCCCTAGAGTTCCAGTGTTGCTGATTCCAGCTCCACACCAGGTAAGAGACCAGAACCCTAAAGCCTCCAACTGCCAATATCGGAGGCCCCAGCTCACAAAGCCAGTGACCAGGCTGTAGGCTCCCAACACAGGAAGCTTGGATCAGTGCCCTCTACTCCCCAGCAGGAGAGCCCAAGCTCTTTAAAGGCCAGGAAATAAGCAAACACCATGAGCAAAAAGAAACATACGATAGATTCTTATCATGGGAAGAGTGAAGATCAAGTCAGAAATTCTGAAGAGGACAACATTGTCAACAGACCCACATCTGGAACCTCAAAAGGGAATATGAACTGGTCTGAAGTCCAAAAAGCCTTCTTAGAAGAGCTCAAGAAGGATTTTAAAAGTCAAATGAGAGAGATAGAAGAAAAAATGGGAAAAGAAATGAGAGGTATGCAAGAGAGAGTCAATAGCTTGGGAAAGGACAAAAATTAACTGTAGAAAACAAGTCCTTAAAAAATACAATTGGTCAACTGGAAAAAAAAGTACACTGAAGAAAACAAGTCCCTAAAAAACACAATTGGCCAAATAGGGAAAGAGGTACAAAATCTAAGAGAAGAAAACAATTTGTTAAAAAATTAGAATTGAGCAAATGGAAGCTAATGACTGTATGAGAGAGCAAGAATCAGTCAAACAGAAACCAAAGAATGAAAAAATAGATGAAAACATAAAATACCTCATTGGTAAAACAACTGACCTGGAAAATCAATCCAGGAGAGACAATTTAAAAATTATTGGTCTACCTGAAAATCAGGATGAATGAAAGATCCTGAACAATATCTTTCAGGAAATCACAAAGGAAAACTGCCCTGAGGTCCTAGAACCAGAGGGTAAAATAGCCATAGAAAGAATCCACTAATCACTGCCTGAAGGAGATCCCAAATTGAAAACACCAAGGAATATAGTAGCCAAATTCCAAAATTACCACGTCAAAGAGAAAATACTGCAAGCAGCCAGAAAGAAACAATTTAAGTATCATGGAATACCACAGTCAAGATTACACAGGACCTTGCAGCTTCTCCATGAAAAGACCGTAGGGCCTGGAATATGGCATTCTGTAAGGCAAAGGAGCTTGGATTACAACCAAGGATCAACTACCCAACAAAAATGAGCATGATCTTTCAGGGGAGCAGATGAATATTCAACAAAATAGGGCACTTCCAAACCTTCCTGATAAAAAGACCAGAACTCAACAGAAAATTTGATCTTAAAATACAAGACTCAAGAGAGACATAAAAAGGTAAATGGGACAGAAAGAAACATGTTATTAATAAGGGCAAACTGTTTTACATCCCTATAAGGGAAGATGACATTTGCAGCTCTTGAGAACTGTATTGTTATTACACCATATTAAAGGAGTATGCATAAGGGGGGTGTGTATAAGTTGACTTTGATGTAATGATAAAAAAAAAATCTAATCAAGTAGGTTAAATGGATCCAAGTAAGTGGATTATCTGATCTAAGAAAATGTACTGAGAGAAAAGGAAAGGAGGCAGACAAGGGTAAATTACATTACAGGAAAAGGCACAAAAA